GGTGGATGTGGTGGATGTATGGATGTAGGGGCTGGTGGATGTGGTGGATGTATGGATGTAGGGGGCTGGTGGATGTGGTGGATGTGTGGATGTAGGGGGCTGGTGGATGTGGATGTGGTGGATGTATGGATGTAGGGGCTGGTGGATGTGGATGTGGTGGATGTATGGATGTATGGATGTAGGGGGCTGGTGGATGTATGGATGTAGGGGGCTGGTGGATGTGGTGGATGTATGGATGTAGGGGGCTGGTGGATGTGGTGGATGTATGGATGTAGGTGGCTGGTGGATGTGGATGTGGTGGATGTGTGGATGTAGGGGGCTGGTGGATGTGGTGGATGTATGGATGTAGGGGGCTGGTGGATGTGGTGGATGTAGGGGGCTGGTGGATGTGGTGGATGTAGGGGGCTGGTGGATGTGGATGTGGTGGATGTATGGATGTAGGGGGCTGGTGGATGTGGTGGATGTAGGGGGCTGGTGGATGTGGTGGATGTAGGGGGCTGGTGGATGTGGTGGATGTGGTGGATGTAGGGGGCTGGTGGATGTGGTGGATGTAGGGGGCTGGTGGATGTGGATGTGGTGGATGTGTGGATGTAGGGGGCTGGTGGATGTGGTGGATGTAGGGGGCTGGTGGATGTATGGATGTAGGGGGCTGGTGGATATACGGGGCTGGTGGATGTATGGGTCTGGTCAATGTATGGATCTGGTGGATATACGGAGCTGGTGGATGTATGGGCCTAGTGGATGTATGGGCCTAGTGGATGTATGGGCCTAGTGGATGTAGGGGGCTGGTGGATGTATGGGGGTGGTGGATGTGGATGTGGTGGATGTATAGACCTGGTGGATGTATGGACCTGGTGGATGTATGGACCTGGTGGATGTATGGGGCTTGTGGATGGATGGGTCTGGTGGATGTATTGGGCTGGTGGATGTATGTATGTGGTGGATGTATGGGGCTTGTGGATGTATGGGTCTAGTGGATGTATGGGCCTAGTGGATGTATGGACCTGGTGGATGTATGGGTCTGGTGGATGTATGGGCCTAGTGGATGTATGGGCCTAGTGGATGTATGGGCCTAGGGGATGTATGTGTTGGACCAGATGATGTATGTTAGACCAGATTAAGTATGTTGGATGTGGTTAAGTATGTTGGACCAGATGAAGTATGTTGGACGAGATGAACTATGTACAACGAGACACACCATATACTGATCTAGCTAGGTTATGAAACTTGGGGAATACCAGGGCAGGTAACTATCCATTACCTGAGGCTTCATTCAAGTACACGCTGATAAAGGGCGATAACCACACAGGCCGAGGTTATCCTTCTTTATGTAAACAATCCAGAGTGAGTTCCCCTGCTGACCTTTTCAAGTGACCTTCCGTCTTAATGAACTTCTTTATTTTATCTTTTACTCGGGACGAAATAGGTGGTGATGGGTATCACGTGATCCTGGTCAATCAAAGATTGTCTGCTGCTTGAAGGTGGCATTTTGGTGAAAGATACTCTCAGGAGTGGCAAGTTTTCATTGTGGATTATATGGCATCAAAGCAATTGCATGTGTCATCGTAACGAATTGTTACGGATGTCATCGTAACGAATTGATTGTTACAAATGACATCGTAACGAATTGTTACATATGTCATCGTAACGAATTGATTGTTACATATGTCATCGTAACGAATTGTTACAGATGTCATCGTAAAAAATTGTTACAAATGTCATTGTAACGAATTGTAATAGATGCCCCGGGAAGATGGGGCTCGATAGCTGGGGACAGCCACTCTTCTAGGAGAGACAACTCCAAAATCAAACAACTGCTGCCTTGTAGTTTGTTCTTGGCTGGACAAAGGCTATGGAAGCAAATCCAAAAAGAAAAGCAGGCTGAATCGGAGTCAACGACTTATATGGCGCTTAACAAGTTGACACGTATACTTAATTGTGTTGGAGGGAATCTTTTCTAACACTAAAATTAAGAACAAATAAGAAAAAAGAAGAAGAAAGTTACAGATTGTTGCAGCTGAGACCATTTAACCTCTTGTAAAAATATATCCCTTCATAACTATTTTATAAAGCAACAACACCTTAGGATATCTTGGCAACACGTATTTTACAAAATCTACAACACTTCAGAATTAAACCAATAAAACCGTCAACATTATGCCAAGATCAATGCCCTTTGATCAAAACAAAGTAAAAACCAATAAACAGGACTTCCGGTGTGGATAGTTCGATACAAAAATCAATGACACTCAAGAGGCCTGGTTTTATGAAACATGAGATGTGACAGACAGACAGACAGACAGACAGACAGACAGACAGAAAAACTGACTTCCGGTAACGTAGTGAGCAACAGATCATGGAAGTAGCAGGCGTGTTGCAGAAAGATCAAGTGCTTCATAGGTTAGTGGAAGAAATGTGTGCGTGAAATAATTTTATAAGATCTTTTTGTGGGAATACATTTAAAAGATCTTTTTGGAGGAATACATTTATAAGATCTTTTTTGTAGGAATACATTTATAAGATCTTTTTTGTAGGCGTACATTTACCAGATCTTTTTGGAGGAATACATTTATAAGATCTTTTTTGTAGGAATACATTTATCAGATCTTTTTGGAGGAATACATATATATGGAGGTTACATATGGAGGTTACATCAACAAGATCTTATTGGAGTAATATATCAATAAGAAACATTAGAGGAATTAGTCAATGGAATCTGTTTGACGAATATAATAAAATCTGGTGGAGTAATAAATCTATAAAATGTATATTAGAAATAAATCTATTGTCTTGTAGGTTAGTGGAATAAATTTTTTAGAGGAAATATTTGTAAGATTAACACATTTAGAAGATACAATGGTTGAATAAATATATATCATAAATTGGAGGAATATATAAAATCTGATACGGGAATAAATCTATCGCGTAAAAAATAGCAAGAAGAATAAATCTATTAAATGGGTTGATGGAATAAATCTATTTATCCGAAATTTTTGGTGCCTCCACCCTACCCATCCAGAGAAAAAGGTCTGACCGAAACTCCGTTTTTTGAGACGTTGTAGTCAAACAATATAGTCAGTCTAGAGTTATTATAACGTAGCAACTATCTCACTGTTCGAAGTGTGGCTCATGTTTCTAATAAATATAACTTGCCTTCATCCGAACAGAAATTGCGAACATATTTTACCCTATGTAGATTTAGCTCATCTGTTCAAAGAAATATATTTGTAAGTAGCAGCTGTGTTGACGGAAAAAATTTTGTAAGTATCAAATGTGTTTGTTGTAAAGAGACATATAAAGCTCTGAGTTAAGTATCAACTGTGTTTGTTGTAAAGAGATTTAATTCTAAAGCCGTGAGTTAAGTATCAACTGTGTTTGTTGTATAGAAACATATAAAGCCTGAGTTAAGGCGCCAGTGTGGCTAAAAGGAAAAAAAGTTCCAGCAAAAAATATGAAGAGGTCTGTGACGCTAAGCTGCGTTAAGCACCTCTGACCCAATAAAGTGCCGTCTTAAGAATTCTTACATAATACCTGTCTACGGCATACAGCCCCGGCCCCACGGGCCGTCCCCTCGACGGCTGGAGTTGAAAGGTCATTACCCCGCTCTGACGAATTGGGCTTTGGGGCTGTGGGATCATGATATATGGCCAACTCCTTGACCTAAAGACAGCACTGACCTACAGCTTGACCTAAAGACAGCACTGACCAACAGCTTGACCTACAACTTTTAGCAGCAAGTAGACAACCACAACCAATAAATTTCTTGGTGTAATGTGAGGTTTGTTGGATTTGTTAGGTTTGTTAGAATTGTTAGACTTGATGGATTTGTTAAATGTGTTAGATGTGTTTAATTTGTTAAATTTTTTACAGTTGTTAAATTTGCTAGATTTGTTAGATTCGTTAGTTTGTTAGATTTGTAAGACTTGTTAGATTTGTTAGAATTGTTAGTTTGTTAGTTTGTTAGAATGCTTAGATTTGTTAGATTTGTTAGATTTGTTGGATTTGTTAATAACGTAAGTAGCGTCAAAAGTGAGAGGCACGTTTCTCTGTGGGGGGCGGTGGGGGGGGGGATGTTGTGGGGAAGGGGGAGTAAAAGGAGTAAATGTGGATTTACTCAAACGAAAAATTGAACTGCTCGCCTTTGTCGCTTAGCAACGTCAAGACTTAAATTGCAAGTGCCACAGGTATTACACTCTGCCAGCAACATTATGTCTACCTAGAAAACGACTTCCGGCATTTACAATTCTGCCTTTTTTAGTTAATTAGCCAGATTAGCAGGTAGCAGAACAGAAAGTAGTCTAGTGAAATAACCAGTAATATTCCAGCCTAGTAAATCAGAATGTGCACGGATTCAGTATGGTTTGGTTGGACCGGAACACAGAACACATTACCCAGGTTCCGATTTTTTTTTAGCTAACATGGAAACTAAAGTAAATATGGACAGGTGTGTGCAGGTAAGTCTAATATCTGCAGTGTGGTGGGCAGGTTGATATCAAAGTACAAGGTGGGCAGGTTGATATCAAGGTACAAGTTGGGCAGGTTGATATCAAGTTACAAGGTGGGCGGGTTGATATCAAGGTACAAGGTGGGCAGGTTGATATCAAGGTATAGGTGGGCAGGTTGATATCAAGGTGGGCAGGTTGATATCAAGGTACAAGGTGGGCAGGTTGATATCAAGGTACAAGGTGGGCAGGTTGATATCAAGGTATAGGTGGGCAGGTTGATATCAAGGTGGGCAGGTTGATATCAAGGTACAAAGTGGGCAGGTTGATATCAAGATAGAAGGTGGGCAGGTTGATATCAAGGTACAAGGTGGGCAGGTTGATATCAAGTTACAAGGTGGGCGGGTTGATATCAAGGTACAAGGTGGGCAGGTTGATATCAAGGTATAGGTGGGCAGGTTGATATCAAGGTGGGCAGGTTGATATCAAGGTACAAAGTGGGCAGGTTGATATCAAGGTACAAGGTGGACAGGTTGATATCAAGGTGGGCAGGTTGATATGAAGGTACAAGTTAGGCAGGTTGATATCAAGGTACAAAGTGGGCAGGTTGATATCAAGGTACAAAGTGGGCAGGTTGATATCAAGGTACAAGGTGGGCAGGTTGATATCAAGATAGAAGGTGGGCAGGTTGATATCAAGGTACAAGGTGGGCAGGTTGATATCAAGGTACAAGTTGGGCAGGTTGATATCAAGGTACAAGGTGGGCAGGTTGATATCAAGGTACAAGTTGGGCAGGTTGATATCAAGATAAAAGGTGGGCAGGTTGATATCAAGGTACAAGGTGGGCAGGTTGATATCAAGATAAAAGGTGGGCAGGTTGATATCAAGGTACAAGTTGGGCAGGTTGATATCAAGGTGGGCAGGTTGATATCAAGGTACAAGGTGGGCAGGTTGATATCAAGGTACAAGGTGGGCAGGTTGATATCAAGGTGGGCAGGTTGATATCAAGGTACAAGGTGGGCAGGTTGATATCAAGGTACAAAGTGGGCAGGTTGATATCAAGGTACAAAGTGGGCAGGTTGATATCAAGGTGGGCAGGTTGATATCAAGGTACAAGGTGGGCAGGTTGATATCAAGGTACAAATTGGGCAGGTTGATATCAAGGTACAAGGTGGGCAGGTTGATATCAAGGTACAAGGTGGGGAGTTTGATATCAAGGTACAAGTTAGGCAGGTTGATATCAAGGTACAAGATGGATAGGTTGATATTAAGATACAAGGTGGGCAGGTTGATATTAAGATACAAGTTGGGCAGGTTAATATAAAGGTATAGGTGGGCAGGTTGATAACAACATACAAGGTGGGCAGGTTGATATCAAGGTACAAAGTGGGCAGGTTGATATCAAGGTACAAAGTGGGCAGGTTGATATCAAGGTACAAGGTGGGCAGTTTGATATCAAGATAGAAGGTGGGCAGGTTGATATCAAGGTACAAGGTGGGCAGGTTGATATCAAGGTACAAGTTGGGCAGGTTGATATCAAGGTACAAGGTGGGCAGGTTGATATCAAGGTACAAGTTGGGCAGGTTGATATCAAGATAAAAGGTGGGCAGGTTGATATCAAGGTACAAGGTGGGCAGGTTGATATCAAGATAAAAGGTGGGCAGGTTGATATCAAGGTACAAGTTGGGCAGGTTGATATCAAGGTGGGCAGGTTGATATCAAGGTACAAGGTGGGCAGGTTGATATCAAGGTACAAGGTGGGCAGGTTGATATCAAGGTATAGGTGGGCAGGTTGATATCAAGGTGGGCAGGTTGATATCAAGGTACAAGGTGGGCAGGTTGATATCAAGGTACAAGGTGGGCAGGTTGATATCAAGGTATAGGTGGGCAGGTTGATATCAAGGTACAAGGTGGACAGGTTGATATCAAGGTGGGCAGGTTGATATGAAGGTACAAGTTAGGCAGGTTGATATCAAGGTACAAAGTGGGCAGGTTGATATCAAGGTACAAAGTGGGCAGGTTGATATCAAGGTACAAGGTGGGCAGGTTGATATCAAGATAGAAGGTGGGCAGGTTGATATCAAGGTACAAGGTGGGCAGGTTGATATCAAGGTACAAGTTGGGCAGGTTGATATCAAGGTACAAGGTGGGCAGGTTGATATCAAGGTACAAGTTGGGCAGGTTGATATCAAGATAAAAGGTGGGCAGGTTGATATCAAGGTACAAGGTGGGCAGGTTGATATCAAGATAAAAGGTGGGCAGGTTGATATCAAGGTACAAGTTGGGCAGGTTGATATCAAGGTGGGCAGGTTGATATCAAGGTACAAGGTGGGCAGGTTGATATCAAGGTACAAGGTGGGCAGGTTGATATCAAGGTGGGCAGGTTGATATCAAGGTACAAGGTGGGCAGGTTGATATCAAGGTACAAAGTGGGCAGGTTGATATCAAGGTACAAAGTGGGCAGGTTGATATCAAGGTGGGCAGGTTGATATCAAGGTACAAGGTGGGCAGGTTGATATCAAGGTACAAATTGGGCAGGTTGATATCAAGGTACAAGGTGGGCAGGTTGATATCAAGGTACAAGGTGGGGAGTTTGATATCAAGGTACAAGTTAGGCAGGTTGATATCAAGGTACAAGATGGATAGGTTGATATTAAGATACAAGGTGGGCAGGTTGATATTAAGATACAAGTTGGGCAGGTTAATATAAAGGTATAGGTGGGCAGGTTGATAACAACATACAAGGTGGGCAGGTTGATATCAAGGTACAAGTTGGGCAGGTTGATATCAAGGTACAAGTTAGGCAGGTTGATATCAAGGTACAAGTTGGGCAGGTTGATATCAAGGTACAAGGTGGGCAGGTTGATATCAAGGTACAAGTTAGGCAGGTTGATATCAAGGAACAAGATGGGCAGGTTGATATCAAGGAACAAGGTGGGCAGGTTGATATCAAGGTGGGCAGGTTGATATCAAGGTACAAGGTTTGCACGTGTCTACAGAGAAAGTACATGTAGCCATGTAGCCCACACTGAGCACATGTAGCCCACAATGCAGATCTATATCCCTCATTACTTAGCGTGAAATCACTCAAGTGGAAACAATGACGTGTTTATTGGCACAAGCAGATCAGCTACACTTGACCTTTTTAAGACTTTACTTAATCAGCCGTTATCAAACATTCTGCGTGGATGTCCTTACTTTACATCTATACTACTATATACATATATACATATACAACTGTTGCCGGATAACTAACTTCAATATCTACACATCTACATATATATATATATATATATATATATATATATATATATATATATATATATATATATATATATATATATATATATATACAACTTTTGTTTGATAACTTCATTATAACACAACTATTGTCAAATTCTTGTAGTTACAGCTTCATATTAACACAATAACTCTAACGAATTTCTGAGTAGGGCCTATGCCTCGAAATTATTTTTTTTCAAATTATGGATAATTAATTTTTAAAAAAAAGATAATTAATTACCTGTGATTGATCCCCTGTGGTAAAACGGCAGGCTAGTTCCAAGCGGAATCCAAGTCTTGGAGTGGGAGGAGCGGCACCAAGTCACGTGACCGCATGCTTTCTTAGACCCAGCGCGAGAGGCGAGTGCTCAACTAGCGGGCGATGTCGACAGGACGCCCGTGTTGACTGAAGCCTCGAGAGTTGACTTAAGTCACTCGTCCCCCGTGTTGACTGAAGCCTCGAGAGTTGACTTAAGTCACTCGTCGTTGTCAGTTGACTTAAGTCACTCGTCCCCCGTGTTGACTGAAGCCTCGAGAGTTGACTTAAGTCACTCGTCCCCCGTGTTGACTGAAGCCTCGAGAGTTGACTTAAGTCACTCGTCCCCCGTGTTGACTGAAGCCTCGAGAGTTGACTTAAGTCACTCGTCCCCCGTGTTGACTGAAGCCTCGAGAGTTGACTTAAGTCACCCGTCGTTGTCAGTTGACTTGAGTCACGCGTGTTGACTGAAGCCTCGAGAGTTGACTTGAGTCACTCGTCGTTGTCAGTTGACTTAAGTCACTCGTCCCCCGTGTTGACTGAAGCCTCGAGAGTTGACTTAAGTCACTCGTCCCCCGTGTTCACTGAAGCCTTGAGAGTTGACTTTAGTCACTCGTCGTTGTCAGTTGACTTAATTCACTCATCGTTGTCAGTTGAGTTAAGTCACTCGTTTTCGTGCTGGCTGAAATCTTTAGAGTTCTCTTCGTGTTTTTATTGAGTTGACTTTAAGTCATTATGACTTTTAACAAACTTTATGTCACTTTACTATGACAATTAAATTTAACTCACCCGCCCTTCGTGTTCACTGAAGCCTCAATAGTTGACTTTAATTTACTCGTTGTTGACAGGTGACTTAAGTCACTCGTGAGATGACTTAATCATTCGCTGTGGTAACTCTACTCTCGGTTTAACTAGTTGACTTTAAGTCATTTGGTAATGTTAGTTGACTAAGTCATTTGTCAACGCTAGTTGACTTAAAACGTATCACAGTTTGACTTAAGTCTTACCTAGACAAAAATAACTTGTCATCATCAGTTGGGTGACGGGACATAAAACACTGACGTCAATAATTCCCGTGTCCACTAATGACGTCAATAACTCCACCACTGACGTTAGTAAACCCCATCACCACTGACGTCACTAACTCCCTGTGTCTACCAATGACGTCACTAACTCCCGTGTCCACCAATGACGTCACTAACTCCCATGTCCACCACTGACGTCACTAACCCCGTGTCCACCACTGACGTCACTAACTCCCATGTCCACCACTGACGTTAGTAAACCCCATCACCACTGACGTCACTAACTCCCTGTGTCTACCAATGACGTCACTAACTCCCTGTGTCCACCAATGACGTCACTAACCCCGTGTCCACCAGAGTCTGCCACATAGCACCACAGTTCTAGAACCCCAACAATTCTAGTGTACGAACAAAAAAAAAAAATTTTGGTCTGAATTAATCAAAATTACAAAATGTAATGATTTTTTTTCTTTACTTTCCAGCCAGGCTTTGACATTTGGCGTTGTTGATTAATTCTTTCATAATTCGCCAAATGTAATTGTGATAAAACTATTTTCAGACGGTCGATGTAGAAAAAACCTGGCCACAAAGCTAGTCACGTGCCCGCGCATGGGCAAGTCACTCGGGACGTTTCTGTCAGACGGCTGCATGGGGTTGATAATTCCACGGACTCACCAGTTATCGATAGGGGTGTTTCACACATGTAGATTTATTCTTACAGAAAATGTCTGATTATTGTGGGCTAATGCGACCAAAATGATGTCATAGTTTACAGCACTGGTTCCCAACCTGGGGGTCGCGACCCCCCTGGGGGTCGCGAAGGTCTTTCTGGGGGGTCGCCAACTGGTATACTAAACCTTAGTAATTGAAACAAAACATAAATATTTAGAAGAATTTTTGAAATTCGGCTTCATTAACATCACTGGAAATGTAATAGAGAAGAAACAAAGCGCACTGTACAAAGTTGTTCTCAGTCACGAATCTATGAAATCTTCAAAACTAAAACGTCATTTGAGACGAGTCATTCGGAACACACCAAAAAATATATGGAGTTCTTTCGTCGGTAAGAAGCTAGTTGCAAACGCCAGAGACTTGATCGAACAGGAAGTTTTCAACAGCATTAGTGCAAGCATCACATGAAGTCGCGATAGAAAATGCCAAGCAAAAAAAAAAAAAAAAAAAAAAAAAAAAAACAATAAGAGAAAATCTCATCAAACGCTGCATGTACGTAAATGTTAATAAATAACACATTTTTATTGAAATTAAGCTTTCACCATTGTTTGCTTTTCAAGTTGATAAATTAACAGACGTGAGTTCGTGTTCGAATTTGCTCTTTTGTGAAGATAGCATGGAGAAAATAAATACCTTTTTTGAAACTGGATGATTAAAATGGGTTAGAACGACTGTGGGGGTTTGTACGGATGGTGCGCCATCTATGT